AGTGCCTTCAACTAATGGGGAATTAACGATCTACCATGGAATGAAACCAACATTCAATACCATCTACAGTGCCTGGTGTCCGTGGTCAATCAAATGGAGTATTCAAAGTTGCTACTGTTAAAAACGAGAACTTGCTCACTGCAAATTTTGTTCATAATGGATAAATGAAAGGCGCTCGTATTCAGCAAACCCCGTGATTTAAAAAGAGATTCAAATCAGGACTGCGAACGAACCCATTATTGATCTTAACATTTTGATACAACACCCGCGTTCTAATGGGGAGAGTTATGATTTTGGTGGAGCTATCTTGCTTCAACGAAATGCAGAAGGAAGTCATTCAAAGTATTGTTGTATGAATTAGAGGTAGGTTTTCTTCCAAAAACCGCCAATTCTAATTGACCGTTTAGGGCAATAGAATTCCGGTTAATGGTAGTCGCTAAACAGAACGCTCATGATTAAAATCAAGCGTACACTTTCCCAGGTCATTCCGAATGTGATATCTTAGTTCGTCAGGAATGTCAAGGTTGAAAATTTGTCATCGCTAGATAAACATTGTATTTTATTAATTATTCAACCTGATACAATTCGCTAACAGAGCACCTCAATCTACATTATGCGACCAATAAATCCGGTAAACATTGAGCAGCCAGTGTGGCTTGATGGGGTCTCATTTCAACTCGAATCCGACCAAGTAAATGAGGATCAAACCCTAAGCCTGACCAGAGGAGGAACACCAACATACTACTCAGTCGATCCCCGAGTAGCCAATCAGACAGCTTTTCACTTCGTCTATTTTTGGTTTGATGCAGCACGAAGAAACTGTTGATTTGCCCTCTCAACTATTTTCCCTGTATTTCACGTTTTTATTGGTAGACTGACAGCTTGGATCGTTTCAAAGCTTTCTAATGACTTTTCTTCTCTCGTCAGGACCGAAAGAAGACATGTCGTGAGATGTTAACACTTCGTTTAATCTTCTGAATCGCTGACGTACAAAACAAGCGTTTGTATAGCACATTGGATTTGTAAATGGTAGTGGGAAGACATGTACAAATAGACATGGGCTATTATAAATAAAAGCAAGAGGTTAACTCCACGGCAAGGGAACTGCTCGCGCCAACAACTTTTGCGCGTCAAACGTTTCGTTCTGTAAATATTTGATGGGTGTTTACTCATTTTAAGTTGGCATTTGCCCCATTGCAGTTCCTGTCGTCCTTGGCCGTGCCATGTGCACTAATTCCCATGACTAAAATATCAAAATTAGCGACTTGTTTTCGGACTGTGTGAAATTTCTTTACAAACCGCTTATGGTACGAGTTTTACTCAATGACATCAGGTAACACCAGGTGATTCACTAAGACAAATTTTCAACTGTGATTGAGTTGTCTTTTTACCCAACGAAACTGTGCGTCAAATGGCAATGGGTGATAACAACTCATTGATCGATTCCGTTTGAAGAAAACACTATTTGAATTTTTCGCAGTTGAAACATCCGACTTTCGTTTTGTCAGAAATAAGGCATTTGCATTCTTCTCAAGTTTCCCGAAAACTCAGACAAAAAGCGATCAGTCAGAACAAATGTTTATGTTTTGTCATCATTCGTCAAGTCCATTTTACAAGGACTGACAACTGTGACTGGTTTTTCACGAGCAGCGAAAGATCAACACAAAGCAGTCAACTTTGCCCGCCACCAACACGAACGATTCAAGATAGGGTGTGTGAACGGGTTTGTGGATGGTGATCACCGTTTACGATTTGAGACAGTTTCCTGGGCTAAACGTGCAACCGAACCGAACCGCAGCTGAAAGCTCCACTCAGTAGTGTTTTTTCGTCTTAGTGAATCCCCTGGTACATACTGCCTATAGGTGTGGCTTAGTCCGCTCGATGGACGTTCAATGGAGTACCATCTGTCGCCATTGTCCACCTGGTGCTCTGAAAGAACTTGAGACCAGCATTACAAGGTGAATTAGTCCAGTTTTTGAATCTAATTTCAAATCTGGTTACCAACCAAATATATTGATGAGAAAAAACAAAAAACTCACCAAATTCCATGATCCTATGCATAATCATTTGTGAGAAATGACATAAAACGAGGGTGTTTAAAACCATTTCGTGTACTATGGATAACCTATCAAAACTAAACTGAGCCGGCAAAGTTAGAATAAGTTTAATCGTGTGTGCATCACGAATGTTTCATCCCGGACGAGTTCTAAATACAAACTAACCCATTTAGACAGTGAATGTTTGGAGTCCTGAAATAGACACAAAACGTACGCACACTGCTGACGAGTACCAAACAGGACAAAACAGCTGTCCAGTGCTCTTTGTCGATTATCAAAAAACACCTCCACAAACCAACCCACGTTAACAAGATACCATGAAATTGAGAAATGGATTAGATGTTCTTTGCTGTTGTTTTTATTCAACGGGATGAGCCCGTGCGAACTCCCACATGCAGCAGCGGGCTAAATTGGCTAGCATTAAAACTCTTGTGGATCGGAATTTGAACGTGAGAGCCACAGACTATCTTCCTTTCTTGGGATTTTCACACAACCACATCAATGGGGTTTTAGACTCAATCCCTCCCCCCCCCCCCCCGCTCTCCAGTGTTGGTTTCACGAATAAGGGAAGTTACAATCCGAAAATGATCTCACAGACACGCTGGGCTAAGCGAATCATTATCCCGCCTCACTGAATGAACGAACTGACAGCTGCATTATGTCTCCGATTTGCCAGACCCATGTACATACAATTTTAGTGAGAAGCGAATCAATGCTGGGAATAGCCCAAGAGCCTTTTTATTACGCATCACCATGAGTAACAGTAGAGAACAGGTGAACACAGAAGTCACGTGACTTCTATAAAGTAGTTAAAACGATGAACCGCTAAGCCTAAGTAAGGACTTGCAGTAGGTGGAGAATTCCGTACCACGCGGAACACGAAAGGTCCAGCTACTACCAAAGTACCGCGTAGTGGTGAACCGTGTGCAAATCGTAAGAAAAGGAACTCGGTTGTTTGTGACAGTCGCTTTAATCGGCATACTACTTGCGCCAGATTGCGCTCTGCGCGGTTTGTACCTCGTTTAACCAACAGTATATGAGTAAGTACCCTTGCCAAGCACATCTTGGTGGTAGCATTCCCCTGCGTTTGTGTAATCGCTCGTGCAAATGTGCATGCAGTCACACACAAAGAGCGAGAGAGAAAAGCACACTGCGTATATAACGTACTCCGTCGTGGTTTGTCGCTTGATTTATATCTCGTATAGGTTGCCAAATGCCTAATGGAATGGATGAATTTATGGCCGAAATCTCCTCCTCGTGGCGGACATGATTAGTACAGTATACCAATGGCTCTGTATGAACCAAAATCAAACGGTACGAAAACGCTGCAGCTGCATGACGAAGGTACACAAGAGGAATGTCGCAAGGCAGAATTGCGACATACAGCACTGTAGAGTATCCCTATAAGCTAACCTGTAAACCTGTAAGCAGAGAAGTATGTCACATATTGCCTTCAAGGATTGAATTCGAGCCTTAGTGTGAACAGCTGCGGAACTTGATTGGGATTAAATCAGCCATTCAGTATTATTCAACTTTCAGTTGCCAAGCTGCAAAACAAAATTCTTTGTTTGCATGGTTACTGACTTCGTTCCGCACAATTATAACTAGAAATAAATATCTTTGATTCGAAATGGCAATGTCCAATTATGAGTGAGGCGAATTTTGAGTGGTACAAGATCCGTCTGTTTTATGTGCCTCCGAAAGCCTCAGTATGGTCGGGGGTGGCTGTCTAGGGTTTTATATTGTATATTTGTATATATTTGTATAACTTGTGTGAGCATATATGCCTACATTTGCGGTCATTTGCTGGTCACCCATTCCTTGCACCTCGCTAAATGCCAAGTACCTCGAAAAGCCTCTGCTGAGGAAGCCCTACTCGCTGCCTTCTCGTGATGGAGGTGTTTTCTCAACAAAATGAGTGGACGGGGAGCCAATAACCGTGGCTATAAACGGGTTTGTGAACCACTGGCAGTTCACCTAGGAAAGTTGGCCAAAATCCCTGATTCCAAACCAACCACGAGGAGGCGTACGAACCACAGGCATACATTTCCAGTTTTGACAATGGTCACCGGCTCAATTGGGCATTGAGGTGTATTGGGCACCTAGGACGTTTGACCCCGTCCCCAAAGGGCGTAGAATTCGATGAATTGGACAACGGCTACCAATGGATTGCAGTTTTCACGCCCCGCCCAGATGCCTTGCGGGTCAGGCTTTGGCTAGCCAAAGGCTGCGCTTGTGAATTCCTCAAGAAAATCGGCCTGCCTTGACCTGGGCAACCTGGTAGTATTCCGACCACATGCAGATAATGGAACGTTTTTCTTTTTCATCAAGATTATTGTACCATGATTTGTTTGGCACATAGTCTGGATTCAGAGGTGTGTGAAAATATAAATATATATATATATACGTTTGTTTTGTGTGTATATGTGTGTGTGTGAGCTCGAGGGTCATATGTGCAACCACTATTTTCAGTTTCCCGTTCACCCTATTCTTGGGCACCTATATTCCATCAGTGTGTGCGCACACATTTTGAGCATAATTTGATCAATTTGGTAAAGTATTTATTAGTTTTNCGAATAATTGTGAGGGGCTTGTCCTGAGTGAAAATAATTTCGTCCAGATCAAACATGAGGTCATTTAAAGGGTTAAGAAACACTATCCAGTCATATATATATAATTGAGAATTAATAGTAAACTGTGTTCATTTGCAGAGTTGTAGTGGCTCTGTGGTTTGGTCGCTGTCACTGGTGTGTTTTCGAAACTACGATCCGACGTTCGAACCCCGCTACCGCCGCTGAACTTTGATGGTGCACTGACTGTCGTACTGGTCGATATCAATTCAATATCCTAGTGAAACCTGATGTGGTTCGCCAGTCCAAATCCCGGGTCATAGGTTACCGGTTTTCATCACTGAACCGCAGGTTTGTTGTTAATCACCCAAATGTGCGTAATGAAAAAAGTACCTTTAGTTTCACTTAAAGGAGCATAAAACGTGATTTTGGTAGAAAACCACATTGCACCCACGGCGGAAACTGATGACAGAATAGTGAGTCATGTGCCACTCACAGAATCCACACGTTAAGACTGAAACAGACCAAATCCGATGCGCTTCTCAAGTATGAATTTCATGGTCAATGAACTCTCAAAAGTGACTGGCCTCAACGGGGTTAGAACAGCTGCATAGTATTCCTTAGCTTTTCACTTCTTACTTCTGTCTTTTTAAAGATTAACTTCATTCCAAAGCTCTTCAAATCTCACAAAACTTTCTGCCGCGCCATTTCACAAACAATGGGTGAAATTAATGTTAACTAAAAGGATGAAGCTCACGTGAAACGTACCATGGTTTGAAAACATGAATGCAGCTGAACCAGAAACGGTGGTTTGCGTTGCAATGCCAAAACCCGTTTCTCGACCATTGTGCATTCCACATCATCATCCTGCAGAATAACATCTTTTTTCAAAATCTTCACCGCATACACCTCGTCCGTGTCCTTCCGTTCGGCCAAGAAGACCTTTGTAAAGTAGAGAGAATCGCAACCGGGAGTTAATCACTAAATTGTCATGCAAACTGGAAAGCATTTGTGTAAAGATCATTCGAGGTTTTGACTTTCTTCACTGTAAATTTCTAAGCCTTCATGAACTTTCATAAAATTCAATAAACGTGACACATAGACCAAAGCGTTTGTGATGTTCACTTCAGTTTCACTAGTTTTGTTTGACCGAGTTCATTTTTAATTTGATACTTTGTAATCATGTAGTACATAGCTGTTTGTAATTTAAGGTTAAATCATTCAGCTTTCTTTTTGGTCCGCGGACTCAAACACTATCTGAATTAGGAACATGGGCATTGGTGCTTCTCTTCGACCATGGCCTAAGGATAATTTAGCTTGACAACTTGAAATTTATAGAGAAAAATAAGATTTTCTTGCCATCTGAATTCTCTGCTAGAATGCAACCATGTTTAAATGAGCAATATTGTCCATTACAGACCCTTGTGTGGAGACCAGTTAAAAGGATACGCCCCTATATATACAGACTTGTCTGTCATAACACACGTATTCTACACTATCGGACTACAAGTGGCATGGCAGATGAGGCTACAGCTGGATAAGTGTTGTGCTGGGGCGTGTGGTAATGCAAATGCTTATAAAATATCTGTTGCTAGGGCCAGAGTTCGACTCCAGATCCCTGCCGTCCGAAATAAGCAAGAAACAAAGACTTACTACCCACACCCACACCGCCTGCACGAAATAATCGCATACAATACATTTTCAGGATATCAGCTGCTTGATAAATATCCAGATTACTTTAGCGAGAAAAATGTACTTGGTTTTGATGATCCCGGGATCACTAGTCACGTCATGGACAACCAATCCAATGACTGGTATCAACGTTTCGTAGTTGAGCACAACTGCAGTTTTAATCCAAAAGTTTTAGATACTATTACAAAACTATATTTAGTGGAATAATAAAACACTGTGGCAATGCACATTCTTTGAAATATAACCCCAAGCAAATATATCTCAAGTGAAATGATTACCGAGATGTGTATAAGTTCATAAAATGTTTTGGATTTTTCACGCAGAGTTCACATGACAACAATCAGTTCTCTAAATGTGTGTTAGCAAACCTGCCGAGAATTAGTGACTGGTGTCAGTAGTGGGTCTGTAGCATGAGACGAATCGTTTTGATGCTTTTAACAATCACTTCCTACACCCTCAGGTTCATCCATATTTTGTCTTTCAAAGTGTAATTCCCCCCGTCCCCGTCCCTCTCTCCTAATGATCCTCTTAGAAACCAGTTCACCTACCCGACCTCACCGACCCTTTGGACTTATTCACATGATGAAAAACAAATCATATGCACTGAGAATATCGTGTACGGGCCAATTAGACGTATCCTCGCGTGTCAAAATTGGTTTTATAACTGTGTACGCGCGTAACTGTGAGTTCATACGTGTGCGTGTGAACTCAAAACAGTGTGTGTGTGTGAGAGAGAGAGTTAACTATTTCAAAACAAACAATAACATCGGTAAATGTAGGTAAGCCAACTGGAAAATGTGCACTATCGTGCGCCGGTTTTGATTGCTGTCTTTTGGCTGCCCATTTGGATGAACAGTAGAAGATGACAGGAAATGGTGAAAGTAGTATCAAAGAAAAAATTTAAAATTTCAGTGGACTAATGTTGTAGAGAAATTGACAAGATGCACGAACGCTACTGTTTACGACACAGTCATATCACTCAGTGTCTCTAACCATCGATTACGATCATCCCGAAGTCCACAGCCAGGGAGCTTCAAGAGATGTATGCGACCCAGTCTCCTGGTTAGGGTTTTCATACCCTCATGCCAGGTCTTCGTTTGACCGCCCTTGACCTTTTCCCAACCTATTTGGTGACATACGCCTGCATCCTTAAAAGCCGATGAGGACAGCCCGTCTGAGCCTGGGGATTTATACCTTTTGAGTTTGCTTATTTCCCAGGAAACCTCCATTTCAGATGGAGGACCGGCATCAATTGGGAGTATTTCCCCCGTAGATATGGATAGTGATAGTTCAGATGTCGAAGGGGGCCAGTTAAACTGAGCCTCAAAATGTTCACACAAGATACTCTCCACCTCCATCTGGTTTCATACTTAACGGCAATACTGACACAATTCCGAGTGAGTACTGTTCATTTTATGTCTGTTTTACTCCATCGATCAAATTTATCGTGACTCTGATAGGAAAGGGGAAGAAATGCAATGGTTACACTTTATTCCCGGTTCCGGAAAATCTCATTGCAGCCCAAACGAGTGTCTGGTGGGTCAACCATGGTTTGCTAGCATGATCACAATGGAGAGTTACGCTTGATTATCAACTGACCATCTCTTCTTTCCATATGATTAGCCCATTTACTGACTACCTTTTGCATTTTGCCAGTAACAGATTCATCGCTCTTTCAATCTGCCATTTTACCCATGGACTGTTTGACAATGACGTTGAGGTTTCGATCGACAGTTTGATTCTTGATCCTTGATCATCAGCTGACAGTCATAGCCCGCTCACAGTTTCCTGCTGGTCGACTGTGTGTTATCCCACACCGGAAATCCTCAAAGCAACGCTACACAAACACACATTTGAAATTTGAGTGCTACGTTGAACGCGACTGCCTTCCTGATATTCTGGAATTTACAACATCATGCATTCATTCGTTACAAGTTACAGTTTCGGTTATTGGCCGTCCCCATACTGGATTTCGTCCAGTGCTTCCGTATCTCCACATTTGTTTGCATGTTTCCTTAAACATTTGTGTTTCTATGTGGCATCAGCTTCTTTACCGTATTGGTATCGAACTGCTCCGTGGTTCCTGTGACTTGTTTATTCTATGCGAAAAGAAATAAAAGTACGTTTTTATATGGCTTTCCTGTGATTCGTTGGTGGTCTACCGAAATCAGTACTGTGTGAGGTCACGTGGTTATTACCTGTGGAATCTGAGGCTGTCCGTTGTTAACACTATCTATTATTATCTTCATTGACAAGTCCAGTTGGTCAGGTGTTACGCAAAATGACCGGATGAATGTTTTCCAGAGATGCATAAACCCCACTGACCCGTTTGTGCATTAAATCAATGGAGTACTCTTTAACTGACGGAACTCGAATGCATGAACCGGGGGCAAACGAAAACGTTTAGTGTTCACATTGTGACTATTGCGGTTGAAATCGGAGAAGAAAAGGAGGGAAGAGAATCTATATCGACCCTGTGATGAGAGCTCAACGCGTGCCCCAGCTCACTCACATCGAATGTCACGTGACTGGTCGCCCTCGCTATCGATCTTTACCAGTATTGACAAACCCACTGATTACTGATCTGTATTTCACCCGCTGACCCTGTAAATCGTGTTGACACAATCACAATCAGACCGCTCCAGTTCAGTAACTTGTCTGTTCTTCACAAACCAGGATTTCTACTCTAATTGGGTAGTTGACTAATAATCGATCACTGTGATACGTCTCGGAGAATTGCAAAGGTTGTATGACTGCGGTCAGTGACGTGCGTTAGTGAAGTGTGATAGAAACGGGAATAATGAGCAGTCCATCAACCGAACTTTACATCCATTCGATTCCTTTCCCAGATTTAGAAAAACTGTAAGCAACGTTTGAAGACTTTTGGGAACAAAGATCGGTTGTCAACCGGACTTATTACGCAGCCAAACACAGAATTATGCACAGGACAAGGAGTATACCTGCCTCCCCAGTCAAAGAACGCCCACCGCTGTACGCCAACTCAAACGTAACCTATCGATTCCAAAGTGGATGCCGAGATACTTGCATAGGCATAACGGAAAGGCAATTACGTAATCGGGTTGTATAACTTATCCCGAACTGGGTGCAACGCAAGGTTGCCATGTCAAGGTCCACACAGCCATTAACTGGTACGAACCGTGCTTACACACCACCAAGCTCATTGATTGCCAAGCACTTGTTGATGACGCAACACCTCGTGGATCGCGAGCAAGTATCTCGAGGGATTTTTACTAATGATAGCGTCAGAACGCTAAAGATCGCCGAGTCGATTGCAATCAACCGATGGAAACCCATTCCGTGTCAACAAAGACTTGTTCATCAACCTGGCTCTTCCTTGGTGAGGATTCTCTCCATTTACAAGTGTTTATTTTGTAATCCTGTCCCAAACCTTTTATAAACCTTGTATTTGTCTACAATAGGAACCAGTTGAGATGCAGCGAAATCGTCCAGGATATAAATCTTGCAATGTTGCCATACTGGCTTCTCTTTTCAAATATATCTAACGGTGGAATATTATCGGCTTGGTATCTATGAATAACATATTTTTAATGGTTCAAGTGACTGCCCGGTAGGCTGATCGGTTAACTAATCAACCTAACAATTGAAAAAAGTAATGGTTGAAAAAAACTGATTGGCTTTTAGAACACTTTCTGCACTGATCATCTGCACCCTGTTCCACTCTCGGTTCGCTATCTGCTGCTTGATCAGAAATCAGCGCCTCCAAGTCGTCAAAAGCAGAAAAATTCTTCATCGTACGAAATTCATGTATCTTATTTTAGGACCAGAAAACAATTTACAATACGATTTTCTCCCTTCGTTTCCACGGCATGTCCGATTTTGAAATGTATTTTGCAGTTCACAATCCGTTGAGGTTGTGTTTGGATAAAACAGTTATAACTGACACCTCTCGAATGCAAAAGTTACGATCCACACGGACCCCAAAGGTCCAGTGCAGTTAATTTTATTACCTAATGTGGAGTGATGTACGGCGGCATGAATAAACCACATGGTCATGAACATTGATTGTTCACTTAAAACCACCGTGGGATGATCGATCAATATGAGATCGAGTTTTGGTTAAAGATTCCATAAATCAGGCCAATACACGATGAGCTATGGTGTGAGTTGACTTTATGCAAACAAAAGTGACAACAATCATCAACCTCGGCTAAGTAGTACTGGTTCAGGCTTTACCGTTCACTATCTGATTGATTAGGCTGGTTGGCTCT